GGCTGGTACAGCTCCTGCCAGGCTGTGTGTTTCCTATGGGGCCTCCAGGTCTCCCCCGGCTCTCTGTGTGACAGTCATTCATTTGTCTTTTTCATGGGAGGTGGTGAATCTCATTACATTTCAGTTTCATCCTCTGCAGTTTTCATTTTTTTTAAAAGTTTTTTTTAATTGGAAAGTCAAATTACAGAGAGGGGAAGAGACAAAGAGGAAGATCTTTCATCTGATGATTTATTTCCTAAGTGGCTACAGTGACTGGAGCTGAGCTGATCTGAAACCAGGAGCTAGGAGCTTCCTCCAGGTCTCCCATGTGGGTGCAGGGTCCCAAGGCTTTGGGCCATCCTTGACTGGCTTTCCCAGGCCACAAGCAGGAAGCTGGATGGGAGCGGGGCCGCTGGGATTAGAACAGGCACCCATATGGGATCCCAGCGTATGCGCGGTGAGGACTTTAGCTGCTAGGCCACTGTGCCAGGCCCCTCTCCAGTTTTCTATATAGTAAATTGTAGCATTTATAAAGAAAGAAATATGGATTTGCCCAGTTGACCCTCACCTTCTTAGACAAGTTTCTTTTCTTTCTTCTTAGCTCTTGGTCTTACATTTTGATAAAATTTAAAACTAGCAGGAAAAAGTGCATAGAACGGCTATATAGCTAGTTCCACCAGTGGTTCACTCAGTCTCCAGATCCTTCACTCCACTGTGTCTTTTTTTTTTCCAGCCCATTTGAGAGTAGGTTGCAGACATACCTTCCTAGCTCCAGATATTCAGCGTGTTTTTCTTGAGAATGAGCACATTGTCTTATGTAACCACCATGTAACTGTTAAACTCAGGAAGCCTAGCACTGCTGCAGTTGTATTCTCTCATCCACAGGCCGCCACAGTCCATCACTGTCCCACTAATGTCCTGCTTGCTTGTTTCCTGATTTCAGATCATCATTGCATTTAGTTGCCATGTCTCTTTCACCTGCCCTTAACCAGCAACAGTTCCTGACTCATTCTTAACCTTGACATTGTTAAGGAGTCCAGGGAGGTGGTTTTGTACAAAGTTCCTCAGTTTGAGTTGGAGCCTTCATGTTCTTTTTGGAAACTTTGTCACACACGCTGTCTGTCTCTCTGTGTTTCTCTGTCTCTCTCTCTCTCTGTCTCTCTCTCTCTCTCTCTCTCTCTCTCTCTCTCTCTCACACACACACACACACACACACACACACACACACACACACACACACACACACACACACACACAATGGATATGTTGTGACCCAGGTTCTGCTGGCTCCCAGATGGGTTGGAAGCAGAGGTGGGATTTGATTCCAGGCACTGTGGTGTGAGCTGCCTGTGTGGGTCACTGCAGTGGCCACCCCCAGGACTCACCATTGAAGATCATTCACACTGTATGTGCCTCTTGCTTGACCATACCAGCTGTGACCCCTGGACAGTTGGTCATCATTATGTGCTGCAGATGAAGAAACGGAAGCATCAGATCAGGCAGATTATCTGTGGTCATTGTCCAAGGAAATGGCCAAATTGGGATTTAAGTCCACGGCTGATGATCTTGAAACCTAATGTGCCTACCAGATCATGGGGAATAAATGATAACAGATAGAGACCAAGAATGGAAAAACATGTTTATCACACAGCTACTCTGAGCCAGATGCTACAGGAGAGCCCTGATTGGGAAAGTAGCCACTCTATTTTTCCTTCTGGTTTATGGCAACTACCGAAGAAGTTAAATGCATTGCCTGCAATGTTCCGGCTTGTAACAGTGGCGACTAGCTCATGCCTTCGGCCTGTGCAAGCTTCTTCCCTGTGCAGGTCTGATGAGCTGCAACACAGCACCAGATTTGGCTGGTTATCTGGAAAGATGGGACCAGGTGTTGGGACAGGCTCAGCAGCATCATGTCCTCCTTTAGGCCCCTTTCCAGGATGCTCACACATCCCAAGGTCTGACCTACACTTAGGGGCTTCCTGAGGGCAGGGCAAAATGTGTCCTCTGCTACCCACAGCTGCTGCTGATGCTACAGTTGCTTCTGTGGTATTTTGGAGAAGGCTTATTGTGTTTCAGTGATTTCCAAGTGAGGAGAGAGAGAAAGAGAGTGAGTGTTGACTCGTTTCATGGCTGGCTCACTCTCTCCAGCCCACTGGCCAACAAACCCCATGGCTGTGGAATGGCTGGCACAGGCTGCAGCCTGTATCCCCACTTGGTCCTCCTTTTCTGGAAGTGTCTGACAATGAGTCTGCCTTGTTGGCAGTGACAGTGGTGTACTCTGTCTTGCACCTCCATGTGCCTCTTGTCTCTGTGACAACCTCTCATTCATGGGGATTGCCTGCACCTGTTCAGGATGCCCAGCTACTGTGCATCTCACTTGATTGGAGAAAGAGGGACTACATGCTTTGCCTTTCAGCTCATGGAGTGTAGATGGCCTGGGGCTTCCCACACACATGGAGTTTGCTGGTGGGGAGGAGGAAAAGTCCTTGAGCAGAGTGCCCAAGAGGCCAGGGCCAGGGCTCCCCCTCAGCCTCTCAGCTCTTGTAGGTTTTAGGGGGTTTGAGTCTGACTGTCGTGGGCCCTTAAAGCCTTCAGGCATCATCACACTGATGGGCCTCAGCAGTGATATTGCACTACAATGGTAAAACTCAAGGAATTATCCTAGAGGATAAATCCTAAAGCATATTTGGTCAGATAGGGGTTGTGGGTCTCCATCAACCATGGCTTTGCCCCAGGCTTCACACTCCTGGCTAGTCCTGGACTCTCTTCCCCCACTGTATTAGAAGCTCCTGGGAAAAACTTGGAAATTCCAGTTGTTTCATTTCCGTGGAACATTGTGTGTGTAGGTAATGTTTATTAGAAAACATTTATCAGTGTGGTTGCCTTGGAAAGAGGTTCTTTGTTCTCTAAGAGCCCATGTTCTGTGTTACTGGTCCTCTGTGCCGCACCCTGATCTCTGTCACAAGGAGTGGGCATAGTGGATCAGCCACATAACCATTGTTTTGCCTCTCTGAGTTCTGTTTGCAAATGTGTAATATGGGATTGACAGTTGCACGATCAAGGATGTCCTAGGAGGACCATCTTTAGTGGTATCTTCTACAGAACAAGTTCATAATGAGTGCTACTCAGTGAGTTCATTTCTCTAGCATCTTGTAGTTTCTAGAGTTAGCTCTTTCATGCTCTGTTTCATTTTATCTGCTGAACCTGTATGCTAGTATCTGCTCTGTACCACAGATGTGTAGATGGACAAGTGAGGGTCACAGCCAGGCCTGATCTAAGCAGCGATGTTTGAAGCCCCAGAATTTAACCAGTCTTTGATTGTCTTCCTGTGTTCCCTTTGCCCTGTGTGCTGAGCCCCAGCCTGAGGAAGTTCTTGTGATGAAATAGGTAAAGAAGAGCTCCTTTTCTTTCCCCTGTGGGAAGGAGATGAGAAAGCTGTCTTGAGCAATAAAGTGGCAATAAAGATAGGTGATCTTCATAAGTGCTTACAACAAATGAGACTAAGTGCCAAGTTCCATGGAGATGCTCAGCAGTGGGAACCAACCTTCATGATGAGGAACTAAGGCTCAGAAGTCTAATCTACCTTGCTGAGACTCTAACAGAGAGTATTTGAATGGTAGAACTGGGAGGCTGACCCAGGTAGGTTGGTAAGATCCCACATCAAGGAGGGTAAGAGAGCAAATGCATTTGAACAACAAGGCAAGAAGTGCTGCTTGCGTCAGGGTGCACGAGGAGCGTGCAAGTGCACTGGTGCTAGGATTGTGCCTTTCTGGGAGTCTTGCTTGTCAAGGGGTCCTTTCTGAGAGAGGGGCAACTGACCCTGTGCTAGGTCTTGGCCTGTGGATGCTGGCTGGATTAAAGCAGCATTAAGGGAAGGAGGAAGCAGGCACTCTTAGGCTTACAGACTGCTGCAGGTCGGCCAGCACAATCACGTGAAGAATATGACAACCGTCGGCCTCAGAGAAGAAATCACAGCCAGGTTACCTGAAAGTAAGGGGATGGTTGCAGGAGTTCATCCTGGGAAATAAAAGCTGCCCACTGTCTGCTCTGTCTTGGGGCAAGGAGGTTGGCCGGGCATTCCCAGAGGTGCTGCCAGATTCCTTTTAGAGTCTTCCAGTGTCCATGCTTCTGAATCTGTGACCCCTGAGCCCCATATACTTAATGATGTGGCAATAAACATACTGAGTTTTGGTGGAGGCGTGAAGGGGAAAGGGGTCTTTCTTACTGTGATTGTGTGGCTTCCTGTGAGTACCACTCACAGGCATCAGTGTCTATGGAACAATGGCAGAAGATGTGACCACTCTGAGCCTCAGAGCATCCGACTTGCCTTAGGGTTACATAAAACATTCTGAGCTCTTGGGACCCAAGATGGCTGCCATACCACCTCTCCACGTGGTCGCACCCTTCCTGGCCACTTCATATAGTCAGCTGAATACTAGCTACGGTAGGACACTCTGGTGAGGCTACATTATTTGATCCCTGTGTAATGCATGATATCCACTCATGACTTGCTCCCATAGTGCTGAACATAGACAAAATTCCAGACAGGTTGATATTATGCAGCTGTCAAGGTTCATGTAGTCCCTATTGTGTGCAAAATGAGTTGGGAATCCCAGGCAGTGCATTCTCAGCAAGAAGTCCTTGGGTCTGTACTTGTTCCTCTCTGTCTTGCTGGAATCTGATGGATGAAAAACTCTGATGGGAAAGGGAAATGGAATTGATGGCCATGTCCATGGCAGGGAGAAGACCCAACCACTAGTTCTGGCCTGGTCACTTGGTATGAAGAATAGGAATATTAAAGCGGACCTTGTGGGATTACATAGTTCACTGTATGTACAGTGCCCATGACAGGACTTGGCATGTAATATTTGCCCAATAATTGTCTGCTCTTCTGGTACTTCTCATTTACCACACAGTAAATATATATAATTCATTTTTCATAAAGTGAAACATCTTAATAACCCATTTGTTAAATTCCAGCATTGACACTAACAGTTCTCTCTCCTCTTATATTTTTCTAGAATCCTGTTATACCAGTGATTTAGATTATTTTAATCTAAAAAAAAAACTGCCCATTCACTCAGTGCTCCAGAAGGAGAACTGTCCTTCCCTGGACAGAAGCTGAAACATTTGGAGACTTAAGGTAAGGGATTTTCTGCTCATGAGCCCTGTGGGACCCAAAATAGCTTTTGGCACTTATGGTTTCTTGCAACATCAGTTTTGTGATGGTTCTTAAGTTTTGAACCTGGTTTTCATTGCTGCTCCCAAGTGCTTGGGGAGTGGACTTTGCATCAGCTCACTCTGACCTGTACTCACCATTTGGTCTACTTGGTGCTGTGCCTAAGGAGTGCTGCCTCTGACCCTAACCAGGCAAGATGCCCACTGTCTCTTAGGCACATTCAACTTCTGTCTTCAGAGTATAGAATGTTCCAGCTGTCTTGTTAAGACATGCGGAGGCTGCCTTTAGAAGAGGAGAAGGGGGTGCAGGGGTTGTTGAATCAGATCAGAATGCCTTTGAGGCATCTGCAGTAGAAGCCTCTTTTCTGCCCAGCTCATCTATTCTGTGCGTAGTCTTTCCACCTCCTGGAATGATGCACTTTTCACTACAATGAGCGTGAGACTGCTTGGAATAGAAGGTATGTGGCTTAGCTTCAGTCATGCCATTGCTGAGTTTTGCTGCTTGCCTCACCTTGACCAATCACTTAACTAGTCTATGCCTTGGTTTCTTCATCTTAAAATGGAGACGTTGGTGTCTGCCTCATGAAGATGTGGATATTGAATGAAATGATACAGATTAAGAGCTAAAGTGTGCTGCCTGAAGTAGAGGGGGAAATACCCCAAAATGGAAAAGGTGTTTTGTGTTCTCAACCAATTGCAGTATTTAGAGGACTTTCTATGTGCCAGACTCTTTCAATGTCTTTGGTCTGCTGCTCTTTGCCTTTCACCTTCCCTCAAGTCTGTCTGGGAAATGACCTGTGCCTCATCACCTCCTAGTCCCACCCAGCCCCTTGACTACCAGCAGAGACGGTCACTCAGTCACTCAGTCTGCACCGGACATTGGGCAGCCTGCCATAGTTACACCAGGTTACTGTGCACTGTGGTAGTTTCTCCTAGCCTCTCCCCTGCCTCTCTGACCTGTTGTTGCTGAACTTGTTTGTGTATCCCAGTCTTGGCACAATGTCTGGCCCTGCTTTGGGCCCCACAGTGTGGATGTTTAGAAAACAAATGAATGAATAAATAACTGAAAGGGAAGGAGTCAGGATGGGAAAGGAGAGGAAAGAGATAACTAAAAGAGGAAAGTTTTACCAGTTCAGAGGAAAGAATGAGGGTGGTTCTTTAAACAAGATGTTGGGAAGAATGAATAACCCAGAAAGGAACGTAGTTTGATTTCTTAAAAGAATCTGAACTTGTGCAGGCATAGAAAGAAGGGTGAGAAAGTAGTGTGGGCTGATGAGAAGTTGAAGAAGCTTGCATTGGAAAGATAGCAGAGAGTTAGGCTGTTGTTATGCAACGCTGGGCTCATCCGTATTGGTCCTGCAGTGTTTCCAAGAGCCCACCTTCCATTTCCTAGTGCCTGGTTGTGAGTCTCAGCCCTTCCACTTCCGATCCAGCTTCCTGTTGATGCACACCCTGGGAAGCAGCAGGTGATGGTTCAAGTACTTATGTCACTGCCACTCATGTGGCAGACCTGGATGGAGTTCCAGCTGTTGGCTCTGGCCTGGTCCAGCTCCGGTTGTTATGCGCATTTGGGGAGTGAGCCAACAAAAGGAAGATCTCTGTCTTTCTGCCTCTCTCTCTCTCATTCACTCACTTACTTTCCCTTTCAAATTAACTGAGAAATCAGTGTTTCCAAGTGCATTTGTGTTTCTTATCTCATCTGTGCTGGTCATTCCAGGGATAGAGAGAGATGGATAGTGAGAGCTTGCCTTCCAGTGAAGGTGGGAGACACTTCCCTGCCTGCAATGCTCTACTGCACCAAGTAGAATGGTACCCTGCTATGGGTGGTGTGAATATCCCAGGACCCCTACAGATACCCAGACTGACAGTGCTTAAATTGCATATATGAATGACATAGTATTTGCATTTAAACTGTGCACATCCTTCCATGTCCTTTACATCATACCTAAATCACTTCCAGTGCCCATGACAGTGCAACTGCTGTGAAGTTAGTTGCACTGTTGATTCAGAAGTATGTGTTTGGTAAGATGCATTTACTTTTTCCAAGTGTTTTTGATGCATAGCTGATTGAATTCCATGGACGCAGAACCTATAGATACAGAAGGGTGACTGTGTTCATGGAGTTAAGGGAACCCGTCCACTCAGGGAGGCATCTTAGAAAACTGTCTCTGGTGGCTCTGTAATGATGCATGAGAGTAAGGCCACCCAGGAGCCAACCTGCTGAGGAGCAGGAAGAATTCCTTCCATCTGTGCTCTTCTCCCTCTCTCACACACATCTCCCCTTCATTTTTATTTCATGATCTCATTCTCCACTTGTGGTGTCGAACCTCAGCTGCAGGGTGGGTCAGTGTTGAGCCTGGTGGGCCTTTCTGCAGGAGCACTTAATACTTGCATGGCTTTATCTACCAAGGGCTCTGCATTCCTTCAGTGGTGGTTTAGGTGGTGATGTATGGGAATAGAAGTGGACATAATAGAACCACAGACATTTCTGTCAATTACCATTCCCCATGGCATCTGGAGGGCTGGAAGCAGCTCTCTGTTGTCAAAAGGGCAGAAGGGAGTACAGTCACTAGAGCAGATTCTGAGAGCTCTGCTGTCCTATCTATATAAAAATGAGCAGTTTTGCTTGCCTTCTATGAAAAACAGAGCTAGGGCAGGTGCTAGGAATCCAAATCTCGTAATCCTAACACATTGTCAGGGCAAATGTGGTCTCTAACAATGTTCTGAGAACGACGCACGCGCATTAGTGCTTGTGTATGTGTATCTGCCTGCCCTACAGGTGCCTACACCCTGCCTGGAAGTCAGCTGCATGGGCCATAAACCGGTAGAAAGGTGTGTGCACCATGCCTGCTGTCTGTAAACTTGAACTGTTGGTGATGTTCCTGACATGACATGGGAGTACTGGAGTATGGAGTCAGACACCTGGAGTCCACTCTGGCTCCAACTCCCACTTTTCCTGTTACCTTGGGCTAGTCTTTTACAGATGTCCAGCCTCTCTTGTTTTAGTTACAAAGTGACCAGTACCACTTGAGTGACCATGGGACTGTGGAGTTGGCCCAAAGGAATGGAAGCCAGTGAGTGGGAGGAGTCCATGTTACGTATTTCTCCTTCCAGTTCCTTACCTGGCTGGCTTCAGTGTTGGTGCCTCCCACCTCAGCCCATGTTGGACGTGCAGACCGGATAAGCTTCTTTCCTGTTGGTTTTTGCTGCGGTTGCAGGTCATGGGTGAGAACCTGAGGCCCCAAGGCGGGGCCTAGTGGGAGGTGTGTGGGTCATGGCACTGGAGCCCTTGTGAACACTTTGACACTTTTCTTGTGTTGAAGGCTTAGCTGTCATGAGAGCCCAGCTCCCTTTTCTGTCTCCCACCTGTGCCTGCTTGCCATTCTCTCACCAGGCTTCCATCAGAGCACACTTGTTACAGCTTCCTCATGGCAGGCTTTGCATCTGAAATAACCTCTTGTCTGTATAAATCACCTAATCCCAGACTTCTGTAACAGTGCTGACTCTTTGTTCCCTCACACTGCTGTTTGGACTCTGGCCCTCCTTGGGACATGTCTTGGCTGCCTGCCTGCTGTCCCCACGCTGGTCTTCTCTGGCTTTTGGGGAGAGGTCATCAGATAACTTCTGTCTGTGGATAGGCGCCAGTCCCCATGGGGAGCTACAGGGTGCTTGTGAAGGTGGCTTCCTGTATTCAGTGTTCGCAGTGGTGAGCAAGCGCCCAGCCCACTTGGAACTCTGCACTTGAAACAGAAAGGTCTTTTGAAAACACCGCTGGTATGCACCCATTTCTCTACTACTTTTCTTGTGGTTTCATATTGAGGTTTTTGATGTTGCATTTGACCTGGAATTTATTTTTAGTAGTAAGTGCAGAGTTCAATTAATGTCAATGCATGAGGGCAAGTGCAGAGGAGGTATTCGTCAGGGCAGTGGAAAATGTGTCTCATTTTATTTTTTTCTGATAATTTTGTCACTGAGCAGCCACAGCCACAGATGGCAGCAAGCTTCCTAAGCTTTCCCAATGTTGCCTGCAATGGGCTATACAGGCGGGGAACAGTGGCAGGGAACCAGCCCTGAAAGTCAGGCTGTGTGAGCCTCCGTCAGGGCCACAGGTCCAGCAGGCAGCCAGCCAGTGGCTGGAAGACCACTGGAGTTATCACTGCAGGCGGCGATTGCTGTGATTGTCACTAGTGGCCAGCTTTTGTAGTGTGCAATGTGTGTGATCTCCCCAGTGGTTTGCATTCAGATGTCTCTCGAAGCAGCACTCAGTTTGGCTGACCATTGGTTTTTCTTCCTGGGGCTGCCCTGGTTTGGAGAGTTGGTTTTGGGTTCTGGGGTATCGTGGCATGCATGGCTGTGGCTGGGGAAAGTTTCCTTGGGTTTACTGAATTGGAGGGTACCAGGTTTGGACTGGACACTCAAATCATTACAGAAAGAACCTCTTCTTCAAAGCCCTCCTACCCCATCCTTAGCCTGCTTGGAGAAATGGAGTAAAGCATTTCCATTTGCTTAACTTTGCAGTCACTTGTCTTTTCATGGCAAGAAAGTCTGCATCACGTCACCACGTGGGGCATCTGGGCCAGAGGAGGGGCGAGTCATTGTTCTTGCTCTGAGCAAAACCTTCGGGAGGGTCACCAGCTTACTGTGGCCACTTGCCTTTCACAGAAAAGCAGCTGGGGACTTGGAGGGACTGCACTGTAACTTTCCTGCCAGTTGACCATGACTCTGAATCCAGACCACTGAGTTTTCTGACCCCAGGCCCTTCAGCTTGCACTGCCCTGTCTGATTAGCAGGCAGGTTCTCTGTTGTCTATCCTCATCTCCTCGGCGTTTGTCTCTCCTTTTCTTCCCCTCTCCCTCTCTTATCTCCATGTCTCTGCATTTTTCCCCTCCTGCTGCAAACAGCTCTGCTTCTTCTGATGATGAGACCCTTCTTGGCTGCAGTGTGGGAAGAAGTCTGATGCTGGCT